TAACATAGCCTTCTTATTATACTACATCTGTTATTTAATTGTTCCAGTTTATACTGTTAACGTAGCCTTCTTATTATACTACATCTGTTATTTAATTGTTCCAGTTTATACTGTTAACGTAGCCTTCTTATTGTACTACATCTGTTATTTGATTGTTCCAGTTTATACTGTTAACATAGCCTTCTTATTGTACTACATCTGTTATTTAATTGTTCTAGTTTCTACTGTTAACATAGCCTTCTTATTGTACTACATCTGTTATTTGATTGTTCCAGTTTATACTGTTAACGTAGCCTTCTTATTGTACTACATCTGTTAAACAATTAAATAACAGATGTAGTACAATAAGAAGGCTACGTTAACAGTATAAACTGGAACAATTAAACCAGTTTATACTGTTAACATAGCCTTCTTATTATACTACATCAATGATTTTAATGTTTCTGTTCGTACTGTTACATCGCTTTCATGGTCACTGGTTGTGTTTAACAGTTTGTGAATATTGTTAATATCTATAACGTTTTTTTTCTTCTTCTATTTGTGCTTTAGTCCCAGTCAAGGTCCATGTTGCACCCAGGATTGTTACTTGAAGATCGGGAAAAAATGTCGTGATGACAACGGTTGTAGAAGTGCCAGCTTTTGTGAATATCCTTTTACTCGGTGTAGTGAATGTCCATAAAATATTCTATATAATTATCTGTTCATAGTTTGTAATCTGTTTACTTGCAGTTATTTCGTAACTATTATCTTTCGAATTAGCAGTGGGGTCCATAAATATTGGGTCGTTATTTGACAGCAATGTGTGTCTGTCCGCTTATAACTGGCGAACCGCTGGACTGACTGTCACCAAACTTGGCATGTTCCCTTAAGGCCCCCCTTCAGGAATTGAAACAGGGGGTATTTGTTTGGAACTGGCCCATCCCCACCCCCACCCCGATATGTCTTTCCCGTACGTTGAACGTAAATGTCAGCTAATATTGAGTATTTTTATGTTTTTGTCGGTTACAACACTAGATGAAAATAACTGACCGATTTTTTGTCGGTTAAATCACTAGATGAAAATAACTGACCGATTTTTTTGTCGGTTAAAACACTAGATGAAAATAACTGACCGATTTTTTGTCGGTTAAAACACTAGATGAAAATAACTGACCCGAAACAAGTGATGCGAAATACACTGGCGACCTCGGCAATAAATAGTGGAATTAATTGTGATATTGTTTGTGTTTTTGTTTACAATTCAAATGAGTGGGAAATGACGTAATTATTGTACAACAGTATGGTTGTGTATTATACAGATAAATTTAGTAGTTATTGAAAGTTTTGACCAAGAATTTAGAACTAGGTCATATAAAACAGCATGCAAATGAGTGGTTTACATATCCTCAAGTCTGTTGAAGTTTGTTTTTTTTAATAATAATCTGAAAACGTCGAGGTTATTTTTAGGCTTAACTCCTACTTACTGGTGTTAGGGCAAGATGTCCCCCTTCTACCAATAAACCCAACAAAACTATTTGCAACAAAGAATTCGTCTGTTATCTTGGGGTGAGTGGTTTCAGATTCTTTCTACTTAGAATAATGAATTAAAAATTTAAGAATTAAACTTTCATTGCCCCTTACTGTACGTATATGTTTACGTGTAGGTTATTTTAACTAATTCAATTACAGGTTGAAAATAAAAAGTTCACAGTTCGTGTTTATTTGTCTGTAGGCGACTACTGTTTTAACATTGTGTAAGATAAAAGACATGCATATATCTTTAACGTCCCCCTCCTCCTGCAGTGGTTCATCTTTAAATCTAAAGGCTTATAACACTAAAAATCGGGTTTCGATATCCGTTATGGGGACAACTCAGATAGTCCATTTTGTAGTTTTGCGCTTAACAACAAAACAAACAAACCTTAGCTATTTGATATGTGATGATTGGCCCGACTGAGAATAAGTTACTTCAGATTCGATGACGAGGAAACCACTTTCAGACTAATAATGCTTGGAGACGGCTTGAATGGGTAATGAATAAAAACTTTAATATAAGTTTAACGTAACAGCAAATGTACAACGTACCTTATGATGACAAA